AGCTAGAAATGAGTTGTTAGCTGGTCTGCTCCATAGCTAACACAACCCTAGAACCCTAACAAACTAAAAGCATTGAAGTGAACACACATGCATAAGCCTAATCCTAAAACCCTAACAAACTAACAGTAGTGAAGCGAACACATCATATAATCGCAGAGCTCAAAAGGACCCTTCTTGTTGGCGGACGACACTAGATCCTTCGTGCTGGCGCCTTTGCCTAGGCGGGTGGAAACAAATTACATGAGTGACGGGCTCATTCAACCGGCCATGCGCCCCTACAGTCGATGGTTGACACGTGGCGAGAGGGAAAAAATCGAGCGGTCACATAGGGATGTCTCATATCAGCGCTCACGCACGGCTGGCTCCGTCTCGTCAATGGCTCCGTCTCTTATCTCGTGGCTCCATCGCCCATGCGTCAATCACCCCCTCCCATGACCGCTTGATTTTTTTCCTTGCCACGCGTCAACCATTAACCGTAGGGGCGCATGGCCGACTGTATGCACCCATCGCCCATGCAATTTTTTTCTCGACGGGCGGTGGTCGACGCCACCTTGCCTTTGCCCTGACTAGCGGGGCTCGACAACGCCATGCCTTTGCCACGCCTCACGGCGGTCGATGACCCCTTGCCTTAGACCCACCCTACGGCGGTCCCATCACTCTACAACGCGAGGCGCATGACGAAGGGCTTTACCTCTTCGTCAGAGTCAAGCAGGTAAATGAGGTTGCCGTGCACCTGGATCCAACCCCTACGCTGCTACCGCCACTTGAGGGGGCGAATTGGCCGCGCTCATTGCACAGTTGGGCGTTGGCGTTGAAGCCATGCTTGCCGCTTGGCATTGACACACACGCTGCCAGGTACGAAGGCGATAGGGTTTGGGAGAGGGGAGGCGATGGGGTTTGAGATAGGAGGCAATGCGGTTTGGGAGAGGAGGAGGTGAAATGAGCGAGGAGGGGCAATATACATTTATTTCTACCAGATCCGCCGCCTCTACAAATGGTTTCTTTAGAGGTGGATGGTTGAAAGGTTCTAATGGCTAGAGGGGGGTGAATAGCCTAATAAAAATTTCTACAACAACACTTAACAAAATGGTTAGACAATTATGATGCGAAGCAAGTATTGCGCTAGCCTACTCAAAATGCAAGCCACCTACCACAATTATAGTTTAGATAGTATCTATTCACACAATAGTTGTAACACTACCCTAAGTTAGTGTGCTCTCAAAAAGCTAACTAAAGAGCCACACCAACCAAGCAAACAAGCTCTCACAACTAGGCTACACTAAAGAGCTTGACAACTAGTTTGCGGTAATGTAAAGAGTATGAGCAAGAAAGTTATACCGAGGAGGGAGCCAATCAATCACAAAAGATGAATAACAATGAAGACCAATCACCTCGGAATCAAAATGATGAACACAATAATTTTTTATCGAGGTTCACTTGCTAGCCGGCAAGCTAGTCCTCGTTGTGGCGATTCACTCACTTGGAGGTTCACGAGCTAATTGGCTTCACACACCAAACCCTCAAAAGGGTGCCGCACAACCAACACAAAATGAGGATCACACAAGCCACGAGCAATCCACTAGAGTACCTTTTGGCTCCCTACCGGAGAAAGGTCAAGAAGCCCTCACAATCACCACGATCAGAGCCGGAGACAATCACCACCCTCCGCTCGACGATCCTCGCTGCTCCAAGCCATCTAGATGGCGGCAACCACCAAGAGAAACAAGCGAATCCTACAGCGAAACACAAACACCAAGTGCCTCTAGATGCAAACACTCAAGCAATGCACTTGGATTCTCTCCCAATCTCATAAAGATGATGAATAAATGATGGAGATGAGTGGGAGAGCTTTGGCTAAGCTCACAAGGTTGCTATGTCAATGCAAATGGCCAAGAGAGTGAGCTTGAGCCGGTTATGGGGCTTAAATAGAAGCTCCCACGAAATAGAGTCGTTGGGCTCCTCACAGCACTGAACACGGGCCGACCAGACGCTTCAGTCAGATTGACCGGACGCTCGACCCTAGTGTTTGGTCCTTAGATCTTCGCCATGTGTCCCCTGCTTCAAACATTGTTCGTCAGATTTCAACGGTCATCTGTTGACCGGACGCTGAGCCACCAGCGTCCGGTCGTTTCCAGTAAGGTTCCAGAAACGTTTTTCTTCGACCGAACGCGTCTGGTCATGCTTGACCGGACCCTGCTAGCGTCCGGTCACACGGTGACTTTCATCTGCGCTGCCCGACAACAGGTCCGGACGTTGGACCTCAGCGTCCGGTCAGTCCAAGACCTAGCGTCCGGTCAAAGACTGACACTGGCGTCTTCACTGCCACACTTGACCGGACGCACCGGTCTTTCAGAGACCAGCGTCCGGCCACCTTGTGACCAGCGTGACTAACTCCTTTTCACCTCTAGCTTCTTCACCCTTGCTCAAATGTGCCAACCACCAAGTATATCACCTTGTGCACATGTGTTAGCATATTTTCACAAACATTTTCAAGGGTGTTAGTAATCCACTAGATCCTAAATGCATATACAATGAGTTAGAGCATCTAGTGGCACTTTGATAACCGCATTCCGATACGAGTTTCGCCCCTCTTAATAGTACGGCTATCAAACCTAAATGTGATCACACTCTCTAAGTGTCTTGATCACCAAAACAAAATAGCTCCTACAAATTATACCTTTGCCTTGAGCTTTTTGTTTTTCTCTTTCTTCTTTCCAAGTCGAAGCACTAGATCATCACCATGCCATCATCATCATCATGCTATGATCTTCATTTGCTTCACCACTTGGAGTGTGTTACCTATCTCATGATCACTTGATAAACTAGGTTAGCACTTAGGGCTTCATCAATTCACCAAAACCAAACTAGAGCTTTCAATGGTGTCACTAGCTGTCGGGTTCATAAACCCGGGGTCCCTCGAGGACCGGCTTCCACGCCAAGGCTCGGCCCAAGCAGACAACACGTAACTCATGGGCCGGCCCAAGAGTCTAAACACAACAGGCCAGAAGGACGGTCCAGTCACCGACCGGAAGGTTTGGCCGAAGAGGAACAACACCCGCTCGTCGACTACTTCGGCCCACCTCTCCGACCGGAGCGCTCGCTTCGGACTCCAGCCGCCTCCGGACCACCCCTCCGATCGGAAGGCATGGCCCAAGCGCTACTTCCGACTCCGACCCTGCGTCTCCGACCGGGGTTCGTAGGAACTCTGCTCACCGCTCTTCTCCGACTGGCGCGACCAGAGCCGACTGGGGCCATCCGACCGGGGACGCCCGCCCGGAAAGGACCAGGGGACAAACGGAGAAAGCAAACCAGGGCGCACAAGTCAAACCATGATACCAGGGACCATACCCTGAATGCCTGCAGGAACAGTATTCTGCAACCGCCCTGACACAAATAGTATTATAGGCGCCGATATTTCCCTCTACAGTATTGTGGGCGCCGCTAAACTCCCATACGGTAAGCCCCCACATGCCTCTGGGCATCAACAGTGTTGTGGGCGCCGTCTTTTACCGTACTGGGTGAACATGGTAAACCCCTCTGCTTGTCTCCAGGTACCAACATTGTGGCAGGCTCCGACGTCTGCCATACCCGAAGAAGACAACAGAACCTCCCACGTGCATCTGACATTCAACAGTAACATCAAAAGTGTTGTGGGCGCCTACAGTCGTCCTGAACCCGCCATCGTGGGCAGCAAGACTTAGAAACATTCGTACTCTCTCCTTCTCACTGGTAAGGCCGTCCCCTTCATCTATAAAAGGGGATGCGTTCTCTCCCAATAACTCAGGTCGATAGATTCAAGTCACTCTAGTTGATTCAGATCCATTAGATCAGTCAAGTTCACCTAGCTCATAGTAAGGCTCCCGTCACTCCTTCGGCCCTTTCGGCAGGAGTCCGACTGGACCTCTTGTACACTCCATCTTTCTCCTTCTCGTTTGTAACCCCACTACAGACTTCGAGCACCTGGGCTCAGGAATAAAGTCACTGACCGGCTCAAACTGGACGTAGGGCACGTTGCCTGAACCAGTATAAATCATGTGCCATTGAGTGCTAGGCCACCTCCGATCACAACGTACGGCAAAACTATAAATATTTACTAGTTGGTCACTTTCTGTACCGACACTAGCCGTCTCTAAAAATGATTCTTTTTGTGGAGGCGGCTGGCTTTGGAGCCGCCTTTGAAGATTCATCTCTGGAGGCGGCTTGGTTCACCGGGCACTATAGATGTGGCTCCTGATTGAGCCGCCTCTCTGCTCGAAAATGGTCCAGTTGCTTAAACTCATTTATGTAGTAGTGTCCTAGGCGTCACAGTTTTTGCTCTCCTATACACGGATAAAACACCCGACAGTGGTTGCCACCTATATGGTAGTAGAGTGCAAAAAAGGGCCGGTTGTTTTTTTAGTACCTGTGTATGGTGTATATATAGATATACTTGATAAATATATATGTGGATGGTAATCATCATCTTAGTAGGCGACTATATATATAATAATAAGTAGAATCATACTGAAAGGAAATAGATGTCCAAGCAAAGCAATGGAGCATATGCATGCATCCGTGAGGTGAGAAGCTTGCAGACATGTGGTCACCGACAAGGTTGTATTAATAAGTAAACCCGTTAGATTAGAATAGATGCTGCTTCGATATATATGAGATGAGCACGTACACATAGACACATTGTATAGCGGAAGCGGACGGTAATATTTAAGGGAGGTGGTGGCCTGCCCTGCCTAGCAGTAGCAGTAGCATCCCCCATTTTTGCTCATCCATGTATCAATCAGCTCTTAACTAGTACTGTAGAGAGAGAGCCAGATGGATGGAGACAGGCTCCGGCCGGCTCGCTCGGACATATATAAATAGAAGAGATACACAAGTTCGTTGCGATCATCCCGGCCCCGGACCCTGCAGCTGTGAAGGAGAGGATCATATATTATATATTCGTCGTCCATCGACTGGGTGGGTCGTTGGAAGAAGAAGATAGATCGTCGTCATTGGTAAGATCGATGTACGGCGGAGGCAGCAGCAGCCGCTGCAGTTCCGCCAGCACCAGTGGGGACGGCGACGGCGACGGCGACGTGAAGCAGAAGCAGCAGCGGCTGCCAATGAAGGAGAGGGAGAAGCCCAACGTGGAGGATGGAAGCCGCCGGAGGGGGAGGGGGAGGGAGAGGGATCAGCTGCAGGAAGAACAAGAGGAGGCTGCTGCGGCTTCTTCAGGTGGTTCTTCATCAACAACGGCTTGTCGACGACGGCTGCGGCTGTCGGTGTCCATGGGGAGCCGGCTGGCGAGTGCGGCGCGGGAGCAGAGGGCTCGCCTCTACATCATGCGCCGCTGCGTCTCCATGCTCGTGCGCTGGAAGCACGACGACTAGCTTAGCTAGCTAGCTAGCTCTAGGACTTGTGGCGGGGCCAGCTAGCTAGCACTAGCAGTAGCAGGCTCCTCTTAGTTTTCTCTCTTCATCTAATCGATCTCTTCACTATGTCTATGCATGTGTTTGTGTGTTTTAGAGTATCCTTGCGGTTGGGTTGTATTCGTAATTCGTGTGCCCCAACTAACTGGAATTCCCTCCTTGAGAGTTGAGACATTGGATCAGCCTCCGATCTGCTGGTGCGGAGCAGGCCCAGGAAAGAAAATCCATTCTACTTGCATGCTGGAATCGCTCGCTCTTTATTAATTTACATACATGGGCCGGTCGTCCACTGCCCGCATCAATCAGGCTTCCAGACACTTTGCACTGCACGCACTCTTCAAAGCTGGGTCAGGTCCTGGGTCTAGGACTAGGACCTGACGGATAATTGAGTGGAGGTAGGATTTGGACAAGATTCAGAAGCAATAGAAGAAGAACAGGGTTCAGACTTTGAGACGGAGGTCCAACTTGGGGATTTGATTTCTGTTATCGATTTCGTTACCAGCCTTCAGGCGGTTACAGCACTTATAGTTTCTATTCTGACTGACAGCTTCAGCTTCATGGTTGCATGCAACTACTCTTATAGTTTCTAATCATGTCATGCTGATACTAGTACTAGTACTGTATAATAAGATGATGATGCACAGGGACTGAACACTATGTATACAGGAGGATCCACATCCATACAAGTTATTTTGCCAGATTCAGATGCAGCAGCCTAGAGAGGCCCGCCTATTACATACAGTATGTGATACGTGCCACCATGGAATGGGGAATCGAGATGGATGGATGATGGTCATTTCCTGGATGTCGGCGGTGGGCAGAAGGTGATGAGGTAGCGGCTGGCCTTGCAGCGGTTGAGGGAGGTGGCGTCGTCGTAGGCGTAGCTGTAGGCCTTGGGGCAGACGGCCTTGAAGACGTGGGCGAAGATGGTGGGGCGGCACTTGTCCGGCGACGCGTAGTCCCCGGTGCAGCAGTACCTGTCCCCTCCCATGGCCTTGCAGGCGCTCCGGCAGCCGGCCACCCTGCCCTCCCGGTCCCTGACCTCCAGCGCGGACGGGCAGCAGACGTTGAGGTCCGCCTGGCAGCCGGCCACGCCGCAGCCGGCGCCGCCGCCCACGGGGGCCATGGACACCGGCGCGTTGAAGCCGTCCACCAGCGACACGTCGTAGAAGTGGAGCGGGGACTTTGGGGTGCCCAGCGTCATCTCCACCACCGTGGCCGGGGTGGCGCCGGGGCGGCCGTCGCAGCGGAGCACGCCGCCGCAGTCCCCCGTGGCGCACAGCCCCCGCTCGCGGTCGTCGAAGGAGCAGCCGCGGCGCGGCCACACGCGGCCGGACCACCCCAGCGGCACGTCGAAGGCGGCCTCGTCGCCGGGGGCCAGGTGGAAGCCGCCCGACTGCGGCGTCGGGTGGCCGGCGGTGCCCAGCAGGCCAGGCCAGATGGATTCCGCGCAGTTGTTCACCACGATCAGCTGGATGCCACTCCCATTCCCAGTACCTGCACCATCTGAATGAGCCATCATCTGAATGTCACATTACATGCAGATCCATCGATGATACACCACAGCAAATTGAAATGGTCATGCTGCTCATGAATGCATCCATTTTCTTCTTCAAATGAAATAATTAATCTATACTTACTAGTGCTGGTGACTAATAACAATGCCACCGTGACAAAAATGTTGATGAGGTGCAGCTGGGGCTTGTTATTAGAGGCCAAGGCCATGGTGCCGAATGCAATAGTAGCCACTGTACGTGGACAGAGAGACGGGACGACTAGATGCTAGTAGTAGTCTCTTTGAAGTGGGGTGTGTGTGTGTGTGTGTGTGTGTGGTTAGTGTGGATATGCTGGAGATCGAGAGTCAGTAATCTCATCATCATATATATATATGCCTCGGTGCTGCTGTATATGCATTTGCAAGCTTTGCTGCTACTGAACTACTGATCTGATCCTCCAACTATAGTTATAGTTAAAGGTGGTTTATTTGGTCTGGGGATTTGGGAAAGATGCAAATAAAAGGCATTGCGGCGCCCTGGAGCTAACTAGCTAGCCGTAGGCCGTAGCAGTGGTGATCTTTACTGCCTTTTGCTCATCTGAAGCTAGCTGGGTTGCTCTTGCTTGGAGCAACTAATAAAGTTTTGATTCTGGCAACATTATCATTGCAAGTGTGTGGCTGTGGGCTGTGGCTCCCATCATGATATCACATTACTGCCTTTTGCTGTCGAGCTTAATTTTGATATACCACGCTCTTTCCTGATTACAACGGGATTGTGGCTTAATTTTAATTTGGTACAATCGTACTATTTGCCTCTGATCAAAATTTCTTTCGGGCGGAATAAAGATTACATCTGAATTTACTCATAAGTATAGCAGCGCAGGCAGGTAATACCAACACTGCTCTTCTGGGTAACTAATGATGCATAACTAATCTTGTCAGCCTCAGTCAGCGAAAGCAGATGGGACGACTCTGATCCTGAAGTATAGTGTTGCTCTGCTCTGCAACTTAGGATGATTTTTTTTTTTTTTTTGCTTTTGGAAAGGGATTGCAATCTCAGGATCTATTCCTTGCTTTCGATTCGGGGTTTCTTCTTGCCTCGTCAGCCTCGCCTGATATGCAGATTTGGATAATGAAAAGAATAATGAGTCGAACTAAGTGGATGGACGAACACTTTCCTTCCTGGAAGGAATATCTGTCTGCTCCTCCCTCTCTTTTGCTTTGCTTTTCCCTTGCCACATACTTCCGTTGTCATGGCAAATCTTGTGAAAAGTACGGGTGTTCCTTACATATCTCATGAAACCATCATGTCCATTGTTCCGCTGCTTTCCACATCTGAAAGAGCTCGGCTTCTCTCGTCCATTAATTATTAGTAACAACGTATTTTCTCCATTTCTGACATTGTTATGCATGTCACACCTCAAGAAACACCCATGCACCCGGACAGTCGTCCCTATCTGTAACAACCCCTGTTTTCAATGTCATTTAATTACTCAATAAAATTTAGAGCTTTTAATTTTTGAATAAACCCCAAAATAAAAAAATTAAGGATTTTTATAGTTACCCATATAATTTTTAAAATTTCAAACACCGCATAAAAAATATATGTGTGATACTTGTGCATGATCTTTTTTGAAGTTACCCCAAAACGTCCTTAAAATCCTTAAAGTACTAGCCTAATTCAAACTCGAAACCTAGAGATCAGTTCAAGCTGCTCAACATCAAATCCGGCTCAACATCCTATAGATGGCTACCCCATGGATGTCGCCGCTTCCCAGCGTGGATAATTAACGAACGTTCTTCCATCGGGTAACGAGCGAATAATTTTCCGACACGCCACACCTTCTGTTTCTGTTTTTGGAAAAGAATAATTTTCGCATGCAACCCAAATTGAATAGTGACGCGTGTGCTCGTTCTCTTTTCCCGGCTGAGCGAACTGCTGCATGCGTCTCACTCAATTTCAACTGTATTGGGGCCCGCGCAAAATATTTATTTTAAAATATTATAACTTCTTAATGGTGTATCCATTTTTAATTCCATCTACACCGATGTGTTCTATACGACGAGACGAGCAAAACTATACCCCACTTGAATATGTTTCGAAGAATTTTTCTAGTAGCAAACTAACTTATAACATATAACTTATCACGTATAACTTATAATCAAAACTTGAAAACATAAAAAGTTATAAAACACAACTTATCTACAAAAAAGTTACCGAACACATCTTGTTTACATAAGTTATTCTATACAACTTAGATGTACAATTTATTATCTAAAATATTTGCAAATATATTAGTAGCATGCATAAAAGGAAAAATGATAGACTATCATAAAAAAAGAGAAAAAAATAAAAATAAATAAAAAAGTTATGTGTTATAAGTTTGACATAATTTTAAGTTTTTTTTATAGAGTTGCTCTCCGCGCTTGCCACGCGGTGACATAAGTTATAAGTTATATAGTATAAGTTAATGTTATAAGTTATATGGTGATAAGTTTTGTTCTACAAAATACTATATTGTCCAAGTTGTCAGTATAAGTCATAAAAATAAGTTATGTCCTGTAACATATATGTATAACTTATATTGTAATTATAAGTTATATGTTATAAGTTAATAATATACATAAATTGCTATTAGAAAAGAATTCTTCGAAACATATGTAAGTGAGATCTAATTTTGTTCGCATGGTAGACGAAATTGGAAATGGATACGCCCCTCAGAAGTTATATCTTTTTGAAATAAATGGTTCGTTTTTTTAAAAGTGACGTCAGACACTCGAAGACTGTGTAGGACAGATGCGGGTGCATGTGCCAGAATGGATTTGGGACCGCCTCCTCCCTCCCTTGCTCCTACCTTTACCTCTTAACCTTTCCTCCATCGTGCATCGATAGCTGCTTCATTCCTCGACCGCTCAGCATCTCCTCCACTGTGAACAACACCGTGCGACTATGCGTAAGGTAGGTGCACCAGCAAAGACGGCGAACAGTGGGTGGGTGGGTCAATCAACGGCGAGCAGCGACGTGTCGACCATGATTATTTTTATGCGATTCATTCATGGGCAAGGCTAGCCATGCAAACGTCCGCTTCCGGGTCTGTTCCACAGCCCAGCCACCATCCTCCACTTCTAGCCCTCTTTCAGCCCAAGGTAGGTCAGCCTACTGGGCTAGAGGAAAGCCAACCCAATTGAGGAACTGAGCCTAAGTAGCAGCCCATCTTTGGAAAATGGTTTGCTCCCAAAAATATGAAACTTATACCAAGTTTTTTCTAAAAAATGTGAACTCTATTTGGGTGCAGTTTTTAGAGATATTTGGGTCTTGTTTACTGCAGTTCCTATTCGTTCTTATTCGTAGCCGCTTATTGGTTTTTAGACATAACTTTTAAGTATATTATTGTCGGATACCAGAAAATGAGGGTACTCCAAGCAAAGTTCGAAAAAATGCTTAGACCCTAAGAGCAGAACCAAA